CTGTCCGTCCTTTCATAGGAGGCGATAGTAGCCCACATATTAGATACCTCCATAATAAAGAGATCACCACATCTGGCCTTGTAAATAGATTAATGGAATGTGTTACACTGTAACTGTTCGCAATCTGCCATTGGAAAGAAATAATTACCTTGAAGGGTCCCTTTTTTTTAACGTTTTGTGTATTACCTTTATTTATTAAATATCATGTTCTTTGCACTTAAACCATAAAATTCAATTTAACAGCAATATCGCAAAATAATTTTAAAATAAGCATATCTTTAGAATTTCTGATACACAGTCTCGCGTGCTGGAGATAAAAATGTTTCTTTTTTTTTTCCGTACAGTGTTGCCATTGCTCGCTTTGAAATCCCTGAGTGTCTTAATCAAAAATTCGTTAAAGTTTTACAAAATATAGAATAGATAATAAAACAAATTCTAAATTCCTCCGGTTTCCAGATCTCCATATTCAAGTGGAAGACGACTTATTGAAAATTTGATGTCTTTAGGTACCGTTGTTTTTTCGCTGCACGAGAAACATACATATATTCATGGATATTCTTCATTATTTAATTTCTTTAAATATAATGCGGGGCTCTAATATTTAGTGGTAACAATTTGAAATGCGAACCGACATTTATAGTGAACCAACGCAAAATGCCAAAACGAAATTAATAGGCCTTCGGGCTAAAAGTTTTGCCTTATTTTAAATTTCACTTAACTAATATTTAATTATAAAACTTGCTTTTTTATCATACAAGAGGATCTTGGCTCCATAGTGTGCAAATCCAAATTTTTCCAGAAGTAGATTATATAAGATTGGTTGGAATTAGGGGAAAAGCGATGCAAGTCTAGTTCCAAAAATAAATCCCAAAAAGCAACAGAACACATTTGACAACGGGTCACTATAAATATTCTGTAATCAGAAAGCAAGTTCTTAATTTCCAACAATTATATAACAAGGATTTAAACCGCATGGAAAGTAAACGTTTAATGTTCAGAAACTGTTTTCTTCCTCATTGAATGCCTACTTTGAAATTCCCTGTGCTAATTCCCATAATTATTATGTTATTTTGCATAATAATTATGCTTTTTGTTACCATTATTTTGCACAATGTCATATAACCAATTTGTCCCAAGCAAGAGGGGGAATCTTACATTTTCAGAATTAAGATGAGTTAGTTTCATGCTGTTCGAGAATTTTGATGTTTTAAAGCTACAAACATCGTAAATAAGCTCTATGTTTATTCAATATCTCTGCTGTGTCTTTAAAATGAGCTGTTTTTAATGTCATGTTTGATTATTTTCCGTTTCTTTCGCTATCTGCTTCAGGTAGTTATCAGAAATAACGTAGATAATTTATCTGATGCAAAATTCCATTTCATGTTATTGCCACGAAAACTACATTGTGCACTTTATCACGTGTAGATAGATAAATAATATCCAGAGGTGATAAAGTTAATTTGCAAAATATTCAAACTATTGCTTTCCGTTAATTATTCATGAAATGGGAACCCTTTTCTAAGAAATGGCATTATTAATTAAAAATAAGTTACAATGGATTCTTTATTTACAACTCAAAACTAATAAATTATGAATTTTTGCATAATAATTTTTAAATCAGCTATCAGATTCATTTTTTATTTCAAGCAAATTAATTTTTTCAGCCGAGTTTCTTTAATAATGTGTAAATTACCAACATACAGAATAAATTTAACATTCTTTTACTTTAGTTTTTATCTTTTAACCTTTTGTAATGAAGCTTGATACTGTAATACCCAGGGCCGGATGAAGACTTTCGGAGAACATAAGCGCTTAGAAATGTTCGTTCCCTCCTTCCCCACAGATAAACATTTACTTCTTTTTTCTCTCTATTTCTTCAGTCTCGGTTTTGGTTTTAGCTGCACCATTTAATGGTAAATTTGGCAATGTGGTGTCCCCTTGAGTCTCTAAGCACCTTTTTGTGGTGTCACTTTTCCTTGATATCCTAAGCAAGTTCTTATTTTGCTTAATGGTTAATCCAGCTCTGATAATACCTCACTTAGAATTTAGGATAAATTCTTAGAAAAATAGTGAATGAAATAGTATTAAATTAAATCATTTTAACACGCATCAAATAAGGATGGGAAAACAAGCGATAAAAAATAAACACTGTTTTCTTTAATTGTATTTCGTGTATATATATGTGTGTGTGTGTAATAGATTTTAGAGGTATATTGTGCATATAGAATGATGGACGTGCAAACAGACATAGCCATAGATTTACATACTTTTAATAATGGATAACGAAACTCTTTAGGCGCATAATCTCATTCACACACCATTATGAGCGAGTTCTGGACCCTACACGTCTTTGAAAGCTTGCATCTCAAGACAGTGGATGACAGACAGAAATTAGCCTCAGCATGTTAGCAGTAACTACGCAAACGAGAACCGTGATTACGCATTCAAAAGGAGCGGGAGAGAGTCAAAAGGTTTCGATTATTTAATAGAAATCTTGATAATAATCGCTCTCAAAATGCCTGTAACATTTAACATAAGACGGTTTTTTCCACTGTTCACTTTGTCGTTTTGTTTGTGGATCGTATTGTAAACACTGAGTTTCATCTCCCGTACAGAAGTGCCATTGCTCGCTTTGAAATCGTTGAGTTTCTTAACGAGAAACTCATAAATGCTCTGCAAAATATGAAATAGATAATAAAACAAATTCCATATTCCAAATTTGGGTTTCCAGATGCCCATATTCGAATGGAGGATTACGTTATTCAAAACTTAATGTCCCTAGGTACCGTTGCTTTTCACAGTGCGAGAAACGTACATACATTCATGCAGATTTTTATTATTTAATTTCTTTAAATATAATGCAGGGCTCTAATATTTAATGGCAACCATTTGAAAGTGAACCGACATTTATACTGAAACTACATTAATTTCACAGTATACTGCGCGATTTAAATAATTAGTAATTTGAATTTTGAATGGTAAGGGAGCTTCAAGGTTTATGGTATAGAATAAGAGAAGGCAAGTGTAAATTATTAATATTTTATCATAGTTTTTATCCCGAAGATCACTGTGTGTACAGTTTTGATGCGTGCCTGTAATATGGTAATTCTATAAGTAATATGGTACGCTTGGTCGCTAAGACTCACACATATTCTTTCTATTGTGTAGCTTTTCGTAGGTGATCAAAACATCAAAACAAAAACTAGCCTAAAAGCATATGCTGTGTGTCTAGTCATATTTTACGCAATCCTTGCATAAAAAATGACTGAACCATATTTTCACTCACCTTTCTTTACGAAAACGAAAATCCTTTCCAAATTTCTTTTGGTAATAGAAAAAAGAAGACTAACTTATGTTTCTCATAAAAGTTAATTTTCGTAAAACGAGCATTCTTAAAGCTTTGAGTACTTATGTATAATTTAAGGTAATAAAATAAGATAATAAAAACATTCCTATTGGGGAAAGTGGAAGAAAAAAGAAGTCTACATTTATTAATACTAAAAGAAGTTACTAAAAGAAGTCTACATTTATTAATAATTAGCTTAAAGGAAAATTTTATCTTAGAAAAACTTTCTGACAGATCTGACAAATACGAGTTGCTAACTAAAAATTATAGAGATAATAAATATTTTATGAATGTAGAAGCGAAGTGTGTATAATAACATATAATTTGTGTTTATATTATGCACAGAAACAAGAATCTCATCACAGACTTTAATATGTACGGACAGGGATCTAGAAAGAAAATAACATCACAGTAAAATTTGTTAAATTCCTTTCTTTTAAACAATAAGGAATTTATCGTGTACTTAAAAAAATTTTTCTGACAAATATCTTCTTTTGCACTTTTTATCATAGTACGGAATATATGTGTAGCTAAAGGGTAATTATTTCAGCCCAAAAATTATATAGTGAGTTTTCAATGATAAGCGAGAATTAGTGTTCACACAAAACGTTTTCACTCTTTTACAATGATGTCTGTCTGAATGTGTGTCTACATGTGCATAACGAATTTTTAGTCCTCTATAATTCTTATTCAAAACTTTCTGTTTTTCGTGGTTAACCGTTTGAGTCCGGCGCGCGCTTCACTTGCGCATGCCAAAAATACGGCGCAGCGCGATAGCGCTTTCTCTTGTTTTGTATCGAGAATGCGAAGACGCTGCATAACACTTGGTAAAAAAATGAAAACAATTTCCAATTCCTATAAAACAACTGCTACTGATATCACTACAACTGCTCTCAATAATTGCGTAAAGTATACTAACCAACACCAGCGTCTTCGCATTCTCGATACAAAACAAGAGAAGCGCTATCGCGATGCGCCGTGTTTTTGGCATACGACAAGTGAAGTGCTTCGCCGTGCTCAAACGGTTAAGCTTTCTGCATTCATATAACGAGTGGGATTGGATTTTAGGTAAAACTGGACAACCAGAATGGGTATTTTACTTGAAGCCCATAACAATTTACCAAAAATCAATATAACATTATTTTTGCAAATGAACTAACACTGTAAACTGATACCTAAATATCGTGGTTATATCACACGTACGGATAAAAATGAATTTAGATTTGTTGGTACTGTAGAACTAGCACAGTAGAAAATTAAATTATGGCATTTTTAAAGAATTTATTTTAAATATATCATAAGCACTTAATTTTCTTTAACTAAAAGCCATTTAAATTATATATTATTCATACGCCCACTGAAATACAAATTTTAATAGAAAACTAAAGGAGCAAACTTTGATCATGTTGGTATACATTTAATAAAATTATATTGTTTGGCGCATGGCAAATTATATCTTATAAAATGCAATCCGAAATTTAGCATTACAGACTGTTCTTTTTATTGACACAACAATTGCCATTTACAACAATTAGCTAGAAATAATGTTCTGGTCAAGTCAGATTTTTTACATAAGTAAATGTGTACATATGTAATTTTTTACGTGTGTAAATGAAAGGCAAACGCAAAGCAAATTAATGTAGTTAAAAATTACCTCAGCTACTTGATCCAGGTGTAAATTTTCCCTTCACTAAAACCAATATGCTTGTAGCAATGGACTACAAAAATAAAGCCATTCGCACAAAATACTGGAACAAAAATTAACTGAATTAAACGTAATCAAATTTTAGAAGGAAGCATAAAGTGACTAACCTTTGAAACAAACCAAACAGCTTCTGTATTATTTTTTCAAGAATGGTAGCAGATAATTTCAGATAAGGATGTTAATTTGGAACAGATAAGGATAAGCTCATGCTATAAAAGCTCTTCTTTTCACATATTTTTCCCAGAAAAATATCGTATATTTGCTGTAAATATGTTCAGCGTACATTTAAATGTGAAGCATCGCATCTGCCTTTTTCAGATTCGTCTACAGTGTTTATACATTTAAGCAATTTTTTTTCCAAGTCGTGATTTGATTTGGGAAAAGAACTTAATGTATTCACAAAGATAATAGATGAGCCTTTGAAAGACTTAATGTATTCATAAAGATGAATCTTTGAAACGTTTTTAAAGTAGTTTCGATTGTATGCAGACTGTCACTTTGAATAAGCCTTTTTAATGACCGAATAAATGCAGAATGTGTACACGTGTGGTACAATAACTCAAGTTATTTTCTCGAATAAGTTAAGCGATTTTAAGTACTATTTATTTCTTACTCATTTGGTGTAGGTATGAGATTAATCACGGCAAGGTAGGTAATAAGGACTTTAATAATTTTTGGCTTTATAGGCTATTTTAATTTAAAAATCCCACATTAAATATATTGTTATTTAATCAAAGATTCTTTTCAAATATTTACTTTTTTAAATAATAGAGTGTATGGATGCATTCCTGTAGATAACTGTGTTACTTCATAAGGTTCCAATACTTACTATGTGAAATGTATTGAAAACGCTTTTACTTATCTATTCCAAGATTACAAACAAAATTTGTAAGTTTCGGTATACGTGCTATTAGCATCAAGACAGACGTCATAGCGATGTCTCAAATTGGGAAGGTATTCTGTGTTATCTTCCAATTAAAGTTTTACGTGTAACGTGGATACCAGACAGTTTTCGTTAGGAAGTCCTCCACGAAGGCATCCCTCTCCTTAGGCATATAGCCCTCGTGTGCCTAGTCATAATCAAATAAACCAAACCATTTATATTTGCTAAACAATAGAGAAGGGAAAATTAGGTGAATAATTTAATATCCGAAGGATGCGCTTCTAATAAAAACATAACAAATGAAGCCATGAGTACTCTACAGGTAGCTGTCACAATATTCTTTCTCTAAAATAAACCTACGTTCCAATAAAAATACATAGTAATATTAATATTACTGTATCTTTAAGATAGCTTTATTTATACTTCCCTCAAACTTGAATCTCACCCTTTCTTAACGCTGCCTTTGCTACGGCTTAGGCTTCAAATTATCTGTAAATAATTATAGAACGCGAATGTGAAGCTGAATCAGCAAAATCTTAGACTGAATGTCAGTTTGCATTTGTTTCGCTGTGATTGGTTTGTCCTTGTATTAGGCTGGCATAAAGTTTAAGATTGAGAGCAAAACGTTTTGGCGTGACCTTGCAGGTGGTCTGCGAAAATTTACCTTTGTTAGACGAGCACAATTACTACATGGACGAATCCCTTTTAAAACTGAAGGGAACGTTTTCCCTGAATACGCTGAGAAAAGGAAAAATTAGGCAATATATATATTTTTAAAAATATTTTTCAGAAACAGGAGCTAAGAAGACTAGGGGGGATACGCTAAGAAATATGGTGCGCAAGAATTTTCAAGGCCACAATTTTGGATATTGTGAAGAATAAAAACACATACATCTAATTATTTTGAATGACACTTTTAAATCATTGAGGAAAAAATAAATTATTTAAAAGGACATCATGAAATGCCTCCATTTATTTTAGCAGAATCTGCATGTTCAGGTGTCGTACCAGTCTTTTACGCGAAAGACTCGAAATTACATTTAAAGCAATAATATTTCCTTGAAATTTCAATATCTAGAAATTTGCTTTGAAAAGAAATATTTCTCTCTCACACCTTTTGTAACAAATTCAACGCTTTGAAATACATACTATTGTGCTTTTAAACATTTTCTAAAAATTCCGTGAAAACGATTGAATTTCAAGGAAAGAAAGTGATCTTATTTGTCCTGTGTAAAGAATTATATTATTAAACAAGCCTATGAATAGAAGCATCTTAATTGATGGCGATGTGTATGATAGATATGAAAAATATAAATAATAAGAAAATATTACATCAGTAAAATTAATGTACGTAAATATTTTCAAAAAAGTTTATCAATACCTGTTTACTGGCCATTAATCAAATGGCACCGACGTTGAGTGAGATGTTACTTTTGAAATAACTTTAATTAAATCAGCTATTGTCAATTTAGGCAAACCAAATTGTAAACATACAATAATTAAATATTGTTACAAAATGTACAGGCGCGGTGAGATAGATAGCTTACCCGCAAAGCAGGTTTAGGGTTGCCATAAAATGGCAAAAGAAGGCAGGGTTGCCATATTTGGCGAGAAATCACCCATTTGGTGACAAAATTGGCGATATGCAATGGACGGATGGATAACCTTCTGGAACGAATTCTTACCGGCTTAGCCCAGAATGTTCTCGAACACAAGCCGAAAGCTATATAAACCTTGCTGGTCCGCAGTTGGAGAGTGCCTCGTCGAGAGGGCGATCTAGTGTGCCTCGTCTAGAGTATAGAGTTGGTGTCTCGTCTAGTAAGTCAATCCCTGCGGAGTTGATCGAGTTGACAGCCGGGCAGCGAGTGCCGAGTGGGTCGTCGAGCGCACCGAAAGAGTCTCGTAGTGTATCACGGTTAGTGTATCGTCGAGAGAGCGTGTTGAGCTCCGGAACGACTGAACGAAGAGTCGGAGTGTGCTCTGTGTGTGGTCGAGTGCTCGCGAGTTGTAGCGTGGAGAGTCTCGAAAGTACGTGGAGTTCCGAGAACGACTGAGCAGAGTCGGGAGCTGTCCTCTAGTGCTTTGCCGTGAAGCTGTCTCCATCGTGATAGCCTGATAACCTGGAGGCTGTGTCTCTGATCGTGTCAGCGTGTTTATAATAGTTTATCGACGACTGTAAAACGTAATTTGGAGCTGTTCTGACAATACTGGCCAATAAAGTGTGTTTCGATACTTGAGCAAGTGGTATTGTCATTATTCACTCCAAATCCACACGAACCCCGTAAAAACGTGAAGAAAGAGAATAACGTACGAACTGTTATCAGAAAAGAAAAACGCAACAATATTTATACACAAACATCTGATACTAATCCAATAGCATAGTTAAATTAAAAATAAGTATTAAAACAGTTACAGGTCAGCTACATTCTAGCAACTGAATTCTGTGGACGACAATTCGAAAGCATGTTGACAACGCAGGGCAACGAACGGACGTAAATTATTTACGACAGGAGTGAAAGTAAGTAATATTAAATATCACATTTTCTACTAAAAAGTTACATAAATCTTAAAACAGGTATATGTCGAAAATATTTCAATTTCTTTTACATAATTTTTGTTTACAAATACGCTAAGAAAAAAAAATTGTATTAATCAGATTAATAATTTTTGAGTTTCAAATATATTAATTTTCATAATTTAAGTTTTAAATTAACTGTTAGGAATATTCTTCCTAAAATTTATCAAGATACTAATTCAGATATATAACATATGTGAAGTGGGCTAAATAGCGCGCAAAATAAACGCTGGAATAAAACCATATTCGTATTTAGACATCGACAAAGATCCATATTTTAATGGATCCATTTTTTAATGGAAAAATTTTAAACTTTTGATGTTTAAAATGCTTCTGACTCATAGCTAATATGGCAAAAGAATCTTTTTTTTTCCCAGTTCTTTAAAATTATTTCTGGTTATAAAATATAGTGATGTGAATATTTTAATTTGACAACATATAATACGTAGGTAAAATGCATTATCAAATTTATGCGAATTGTTTCAAAAGTAATATACCTGCTGTTGAAACTTCAATATATGTTTTACAAATGCTTTATTAAAATTAATATATTATGGCAAAATTTGCGTGAATTAAATGTAATTATCCCGCATTTATTTAATATGCATAAAAAATACACGCATTCATTTGCATCGGTTAAATTATATTAGAAGTTAAAATGACAGAACTCACTTGTGAAGTTTAAACGCAGTAGATAGACACGATGTAGCAGTGAGAAAATGCTGAGTATAAATGCTTCATTGTTTAAATGGTTATACTATCTACTGGTTATGGAACCAAAGCACTTTCATCAAATCGGAAGAGCGAAATTATTGTAACCAAGCAGAGTGAAAAAAAAAAAAAAAATTCAGGAATAGCGCAAGGGCAAGCTGAATCGCATACTAGATCTGGGTTTCTGAAACTAAGAGCATACGTACCACTACTGAAACATTGCATTATGTGATGCAAGATTTTAAGACTGAGAATCCCTATACTAGATGACACAAAAATTAGTAAAATTTGTTCTACAAATTGTATTTTGGTGAGCTTTTAATGCAAAAAAGCAGTTAGTATTAAAATTGTATTCATATGTTTATTACAGGAATTTTATTACGCACAACTTTGTTGCAAATATGCTCTCTTGAATGCATTTGTGAGGTTTATCTATTTAATTATAACTAAAAGTTCATTTCAAGTTGAAAAGTCTTTCCTATGAGTCTCTTTTAATGCCAGAATGTAAATGAGTTAGCGGGAGTTTATTAAGATTAAGGTAGAATGAAGGGCTATTTAAGCAAGAGCTCTGGAAGTTAGTTTTAGAGAGTGTTTGCCTATTCTAAACCATATTGTGCTGTGATTTATTCGCGATTTAAAGCGTTAGCGGCGTTGATGTGTTCTTGCCTTTAGGCTTGTCTCGCCGGTTACTTTAGACTAGGGCTTTTCCTGCGCGTTAGGCTACCTACACACCTCGTTAGGCTAGCCTACACACCTCGTTAGGCTAGCCTACACACCTCGAAATTGTTATTTGTTACTTATTTCTATTAAGCCAGAAGTGCTGGCTTCTTGTAACCCAAGTTGGTTCATTTGTTAATTTTATGATTGAATAAATTTTCTTGTACACCATTCTTCTGATCTCTGTTTAGTTTCACAAGGCTAGAAGATAATTAT